AAATACACACATTTTCCCATGATGCTAGCAATAAAGGAAACAGAAATGGTTTTGTTATATGCACTATTTTATTACTCCACTTCGCTTCGTCAAACGTCTATTAGATGACGCTGTTAATTTCTATAAAAAGACAAACATTTCCTTCCTCTTTCTCTTTCTTTCTCTGAAATATAGCAGGGCATGGATGAAGACATCTCCACTGAGTAATGTTTCTTTTCTTCCGGTTGACTGACGACTAATGGCGGTTTGTGATTAAAACTAGTGAGGGTGCTACTTCAGTTTAAATTTTAGCCATTGTTTTAATATTGTGCAAAACGAAACACATAAAAATGAAAATTTATACATAAACTTGATAAAATCCTAAACAAAAATAATATTTTTTACTTATTTATAAATTTTTACAGTTCAACCATGGTCCATTCATTTAAAAATGAAATCCATTCTTCTTGTTTTATATTGAGCAAAAAGGTTAATAATTTTTTCCTTGACCTCTGGATGACTGTCGAGGAAATTTTTCTCTATTGAAAGCACTACAAGTGCATTAAGTCTTTCAGGATTCATAGTACTCCTTAGAAAAGTTGTTATTCTTTTCAGCGTTGAAAAGCAGCCTACTGGCTCTGATGTAATCATGGGAATTGTCAAGAGGATTTTTATCAGTTTCGTAATTCCACTAAGAACACCATCGAGATTATTTTCCAAGATAAATTTCAGCAGTTCATGTAATTTGCAATATTCATGCATATCGGAAATTCAATAGAACACTTTTAGTTCAGTTTCATCCTTTTCTTTGTCAATCATAAGATATGCTACAGTGGTCAGTACTATCTCTTCTGTAGGCAGTTCATTCTTAAAACTAGTAAAGCTTTTCTTGTTGAACAATTTAGCAGCTACTAAGTGTTTAACGAAATAATATCTGTCCATTATATCATACACTTTATTTGCTTCTGCCATGATTGTCTTTGAAGGATTTTCACAATACTTCGAGTGTCTTATTTCTAAAATAGCAGTTCTGAAATCTGTTATATATTCATTGACTTTAAACACACTAATTTCTCGAGATTGCATTTGGTTGTAAATTACTTCAACCTGAGGCATAATCTGATGAAAAATCTCTAACCAAATCATGAAATTATCATCATTCAGGTTTTGTAAAATTCATGCTGCTTCTGCAATAGTTTGATCTTCATTTGATGTTGACTGTATTTCAGTAGGGCAGCTTTTTAAAGAGTGCAAATTTTCATGAATTCTGTTCACGGTCCATATGTTAAAGTTCAACATTGTAGAAGATGGGCGAGGAATACTGACTTGCATAAACTTCTTGAGAATGGATAGACGTGGTGATCTTGAGAAGAATGTTGTAATAACCAAAATGTTGGAGAAAAATATTCTTGCGTTCCTTGTAATACTTGCTGCATTTCTTCTTATTAAATTAAATTGATGTGCATAACAGCGAATGAAATGTGCACTACTATAAACTGCTTTTGTTTTTGCTTGAACTCCTTTTTTTGCCTTTCATGACGTTTGCACCATCAAATGTCTGAACTATCAATTTTTGTCCATTTCATTGAAGGATTATGTTCTGATATGCCATCTACAGTTTGATTTTCTGGAATAAAGAATCCACCAAAACGCTAAAATTCTTCTTCATTCAACACGGACCGTAGAACAACGACCATTTCGGTGTGTTCCGAAACATCTTTTGTGCCATCAGACACGACGTCTACAAACGAAGCTTCTCTAATTCCTTTCCTTATCTCCTCATTGTATATTTGTAGCAGGCAGTTAAGTACCTCATTCGGAATAGTCTTAGAAACACCTTTGAAAACCGTGTTGGTTTCTAAGAGATTCCTCAAATCTGGATCTAATTTAGATGCAAAATTTATTAATCCTCTAAATACTCTTGGATTTACTGAATCATCTTTCTTATCATGTCCACATAAGGGAAGCATTATATTCCTCTACAGTTTATCACATCCAAGTCTATGGTACACTGTTTTTAAGCACAACACACACTGAGTCAAAAAATAAACACTACCTTACACTCGGACAACAGGGTCGGCACTGAGTGAGCAAGAGTTCTCTCTCTAACCAGCGTTCAGCATCTTCTTCTGGGACGTGTGCGCATGTGTAGAACTGTCAAACATCGCACTACTGGAACTGTGAAGAACACAATACATTACCAAAATTTTTGTAATTTTTCCTGAATGGGGGAATGGATACTGACATTAAGCTTAAGGAATATATAATATACAAATATAAAGGAAAAAATATTATTAATAATATCGAGTAAATATACGGGGTGCTGCAGTTCCTCAATGCCTATAAACGAACCGTAATTGCTGACGATTGAACTCTCTTTTCTTCCTTTTGCTCCAAAATGTAATAGAACGTAGATATAGAAGTCCCCACTGGAGAATGTCTCTTTTTCACCGATCGACTGACGATTAAATTCTCTTCTACTTTCCAACGTATAGCGTTTGGAGATGTTTTGCAAAAGCAAAATATTATACACCTTGTCTTGAGATTTAGAGCCTAGATTTGGAGCCTGTTAAGCCTATAGATAAATCCGGCACTGACTACGAGCTCTTGGAACAAAGTATGCGCTCTTAGAATAGGAGCATTTTTGTCTATTACGAATTGTTATAATAACACAAAACAACAAAAAGAGGTCTTTATTTAAAAAAACATTTACAGTTAAAAAAAAATAAAGTTCCATATTCTGTCTGAGGAGCACCATATAGATATTTCGTCCACTCTCTATTCTCAGGCCTACATTGTTTTTGATCTTCATCAGTTCCCTACTAGATGTTTATGATGACACAACGACAAAGTAAAACTGGCAACTGCTCTCGAAAAGAACTGTCAATCAGTGGTTAATTGGGGCAAGGAATGGCTTGTAAATTTTAACGCCTCCAAAAACAAAACCAAAAAAAACTGTTTTCATTTAATCACCACAGAGAAGCTTTTCTGCCTGCCATCAGCATGGCTGATGCTAAACTCCTGGAGAGTATAAAATATTTTTAGTGTAGAGACTAATCATAATTCCTATTAGAATTTACATAGTGATTAACTTGTATAGCATATATCTCGGCGATAAAATTTAAATTTGACTTCCTTTTAAAATTGCGAAATTTAGAAATTAATATAATTGAAATTATCACGATTCTTCTTCTTTTATGTGCCGTATCTCTTCAGGACGTAGGCGATCATGGCCCTCTCCATCTTCCTGTCTCTTGTAGCTCTTAATAAGTTTTGTTTTTTTTGTTATTTCTCCCAAATTCTGTTCTGCCGTCCACTTGCTCAAGCACATCAAGTATGTTACCCGCTGCTTTCCTTTGCCCGTCTTTCCCTAAATCTGTCCTGTGAGTATCACATTTTCCAAGCCGTCCTTCCTCATTATGTCCCTCAGAATTTTCAACTGCCTCTTCCTGATGTTAAGTATAAGTTTCCTCTTTGTTTTCATTTTCTTCAAAACCTCGTCATTGCTCAAATGTTCAGTCAATGGTATCCTCAGCATCCTTCTGTAGAACAACATTTCTTTTACTTTAAGTCTCTTCTTCATTTTTGAGGAGATTTTCCAGCATTCGCTGCTATACAGGAGGACAGATATCACGTAACAGTTCAGTATTCTTTTCTTTGTTTCTAACGAAATTTTTCTGTCGCTTAATACTCTGCTTGGCTTTTGGAATGCATCTTTGGCTATCTCAATACGTCTTCGGATTTCAGTGTCACACCTTCCGTCCGCTGTTAGAACGCTTCTCAGATATTTAAATTTCTGTAGTTATTTGGTTTTAGTATTCCCGACTTGTAATTTGGCTGCTTAGTCAAAGAATACAAATATTTCCTTACAAAGAAATAGTCAATATTATCATTACTATATCTGTTTATATATATATATGCATTTACAATATACAATTGAACTGATTTATTTTATGCATCTGGTGATCAGTCTGTTAGCGTTAAAATTTGTTGTTATCGAACGAGAAGCGGTATTTCAAAGTCATATAGCCGTTATCCAGTGTCACACTTTCTCATCTTCTGTTAGAACATCTCACAGATATTCAAATTCCTGTACTTGTTTGATTTTAGTATTCGCAATTTGTAATTTGCATTTTGGGCTCATCCTTTTGCTGATAACCAATCATTCTGTCTTCTTGTAGTTTATATTTAGTCCTTTCTTCTCGCTTTCCTTCTCGACCTTCTGTAGGAACTTTTGTGGTTTCCTTTCTGTATCTGCGATCAGCAGTGTCATCTGCATATTTTATATTGCTAAGATCGTGACCGCCAATAACGAATCCTGGTAGGACTTCTAATTCTCTCAGAATTGCCTCTATAGGTTGAATAAATCCGGTGAGAAGACACATCCTTGTCTTACAGCCCATTCTATTTTTGTATATCTGCTCAAATCATTTTGGAATGCATCCATGGCCATCCCAATTCATCTTCCGATCACAGTGTTGCACTTTCCATCCTCTGTTAGAACACTTCCCAGATATTTAAATTCCTGTAATTGTTTGATTTTAGTATTCGCAATTTGTAATTTCCATTGTGGCCTCATCATTTTGCCGATAACCAGTCATTCTGTCTTCTTGTAGTTTATACTTAGTCCTTTCTTCTCGCTTTCCTTCGCTACCTTCTGTAGGAGCTTCCGTGGTTTTCTTTCCGTGCCTGTTATCAATACTGTGTTATCTCTATATATAATAAAATAAACTTTAGTCAATATTGGTTGTTTTTGTTTAATAGCATATCAATCTTTTGCAGGTTAATTATGCCGAAATCTTAATATTTTTACGCAATTTTATCTTATTTTTGGAGATAATAACGGTTTAGTGATACAAATCTTACTAATTAACCCATGGCTGGGGAAAAAGAAATGGATTCATACCTTTCCCAGGTGTATTTGCACGTAAGTGAATATAATGAATCCAACTGGAATTGGAACTCGGATCTCCGATTAACAATTCCGAGTTATTATCCATTACACCAGCCACACATCCAAGCATACAGCATCTGGTATTCCCAAGCGGTCGCCCATTCAGGAAATGAACAGGCTCGACGTTGCTTAACTTCGATGATCGTAGGGGAACCGGTTTTTCAACGTTGTGACCGTAAGCGAATTTTAGTAAAGGTAGTCAAGTAGAAAGGGGAACCTAGGAGGAATGGTTTTTCAACGTTGAGTAGAAGAACCGAGTTCGAATTCCAGTCGAATCCATTATATTAACTAACGTGCTAATGCCTTTGGGAAAGGTATGGATTCTCTTCTTCTTCTTCCAACAATAGATAAACAGCAAGACGGACCAGGTTCTATAGCCTTGGATGGCAACTGGTCTAACGCAATAAATGTGTCTCGTGAATCATATATCTCATGGCTGATAACTAACTGACTGAGGGCCTGCATATCGCCGGTCTCCAAGCCTTATTGGGGACCTTGTGCTTTGTGACCCGAGCTATGTTATCAAAAGTCGCTTTTTTTCTACCTACATTTATATACATTACAAATTAAACTAAGCGCAACACATTTCTACGGATTTTGACGGCATTCTAGGGTCTTTTTTCGTCCAAATCCGTGAATTTGTGTGGTTCATGCTAAGTCTCGAAAAAACGCAAACTAAAATTCAATATTTTTTATCCATAATGTTAAATATGTTAACATTCTTCAACTTCTTAACAAGAAAAATCTTTATCATGTTAAAAAAAAAATTCTGCAAAACATTGTTGATTTATCTAAGATGAAATGATATATTATAATATGTCTCTAATGTGTATTTAGATCCTCCTCCTCCTCCTCCTCCTCTTCCTTCTCATCCTCTTGACATTTGTAATCGTAGGGATCGGGGGCCGAATGCAGAAGCCATATTGAATCTCCTCCACACTGTCTGTCAACGGCAGCCATCAGCAATTCGGCTATAGTCATACTTTTCCATTGTTTGACATTGTCCAACGAGTTTTTGCATTGGCGTCCTCTCGTACGACTACCTTCAACGGTGTCTTGCATGATGGTCTTGCACAGGCTGTCGTGCCTTGTAACGTGTCCAGACCACGCCATTTTTCTCTGTTTTGACAGTAGCGAGAAGAGTTCCCTGGTGACCCACAAAATTCTTTTCCGCACATTGGTTTCATGTTCCCAATGGAAGATGATACGTTTTCTCATGCCTTTGTCCTCAGACTCTGTTGTGCCAACAGTGTCCACGTTTCATATCCATATTTTCAATTTTCTACTTGAATTCTTCACCTATTTTGCATATGATCCATTAATGTACATAATCGGGTTACAATAAAATTTGTATTTTCTATGAATACTACCTTATGAAAACAGATGTAGTAGAATGGGGTACCGTATCATAGATTGGGCGAGCTGCGTCATAGATTCAAGGGGGACACGAGACCCTTGCACTGGCCATGATTATGAGAATGTTTTGTTTAAGAAAATCAAACAATTTTGCCACACTCGGGGATGACAGATATCTACCTTCCTCTTTTATGTGTTGTGTTCCTTCAGGGCGTGTCCATGTTTCTCCTTAATTTCTTTTGCTTTCAATATTATTAGTCCTTATCTGACGCCCCGGCTTCAGTCATTTTCAAAAGTTGCCTCCCTGTGTCTTTTTTATAAATACTTTCATCGTAATTGTTCGGATGAGCTCTCCGCTCTGGTACCTAGACTGGCACCGAGATCTCAGCAATTAACAGTTAAACTGGCTAGATGTAGCCGTAAGTTCTATGCTAACAGTTTTTTTTCTCGCATTTCTTGCCTGTGGAATTCCCCTTCGGTTCCATGCTTTCCGGTAAACTTTAATCAGCAAAAATTTAAATACAATGTCAATTGCTATCTACTGTCCTCCTTATTACTCTTTTCTCTTTTTGTTCATTATTAATGTTTCTGTTCCTAATTCTTCCAGCCCCTTGTGTTTTAGTGGATTTACTGCCTTGCTTGTGTGATAGCGATTAAATAAAAATCGACTTTGCCTTTACAGAATGTCTTCTAGCAGTAACTTACCGATGAGGAAATAATGCCAGTATTTTCATCTCTGTTTTCTGTTATATCTCTCTCTCTCTCTTTCTTTCTCTCTCTCTCTCTCTCTCTCTCTCTCTCGTTATCTCTCGTATTCCCTGTTCTGTCAACCATTCAGACAAGTTAATTAGGCGAGGTGTCATGCGTTGCTTCTCCTTTGTGCCTGTTGCGTTTAATATGTCCTGTGAGTGTCAATTTTCTAAGCCCTTTTTCCTCATTAAGTGTCCTAGAAATTCCAACTCTTTCTGATATTAAGTATGTGTCCTTTTTGTTTCCATTTTTCTCTGAAACTTCGTTATTGCTCATATGTTCCGTTCATAGAATTTTTCTGTGGAACCACATTTCTGTTGCTTCAAGTCTTTTCTTCATCTGTAAGGAGAGTGTCCAAGAAATTGACCGATATTACATAAGAAGTCGGTACTCTTTTCTTTGTTTCTGTTCTTTCAAGTCTCCTCTTTATCTGTGAGAAAAAAAATGTAATATTTAATAGAAAGACCATAATTCTATCTCTGAACGTGCTTAATCATACTTGTTGTTATTGTTAATATTACAATACTGTTTTCGGTTGAAATTTTGAAAATCTTTCTCTTGAGACAATTTTTTAAGAAAATAGGTTTCTATAGTCAAGTAGCTGTTATCGCTCTTTCCAGTATTGACGGGAGTTTCCTTAAAATTTTATTTGAAGTAGTGTCCAGCATTCATTGCCATATAGGAGGACCGATATTACATAACAGTTAAGTAGTCTTTTCTCTGTTTCTAACGAGATTTTCTTGATTCTTAATATATTGCTTAGCTTTTGGGACCGCGGGTGTAATATGTTTAGTAGAGCGCCGTTTCATAGATTCAGGGGGGTCATAGATTCAGTGGGGACACGAGACCTTTGCACCGGCCCTGACTATGAAAATGTTTCATTTAAAAAAGTCAAGCAATTTTGACACATTTGACTGGTATTTAATTCTGTTTCTAGAAAAAAGACGTTACATTTTAAACAACCTGATACATTAATTTATCAATGATTATGATTAGTTTGTTTTTTTTTTGCATTGTAATATACATTGCTTCCATTATGTTCATTGCATTATTTAGTGTTTCGATTTAATAAAACGTGAACAGCCATAATGACGTCTCATTTAATTTATACCAAAAAAAAAAAATGAAGGAACCAAAATAAAAAATTTAATGATTTCTTTTGATTGTGTAAACTTCTTTATGATTAATAAAACGATATTGTGGCCTTGTAACTTCTTTTGCAGACAAACACGAAATTATTAATTTTCTCTTTTAATTATATTCTAAAAAAAGTTTTTGTTTGCTTTTAATCATTTTAAATAATAATAATTTGACTTTTGATGAAAAACAATCATGAAATAATTAATTAGTTATTACTCAGATGTTTTCATTTAACGAAAAACTGTCCGAAGAATTCCGCTCTGCCTAACATAATGGTCTTATGTATAGGAGGTCATCTATCGTGCAACCAATCAGTCAATGTACCGAAGCACCTACATTACCTTTCATTGTGCTTTGAGATTATCCTACCATGTCTACCAATGAACGTCGCTTAACGTCAGATAGGTAGCATGGTAATTGTCGTAATGGAATAAACATTCCCTCACCCTGCTCGCTTGTAACCATCCACTATAATAAAATAAACATTTTCAGCGCTAAGGATGAATTAGCCAAATAAGTCTTCTACTTAGAGTTGTTGCTATATTACAGTAATTAGTTGTATAAAAGGAAAGGAGATAAATTCTCTCGTTTGCTCTCTCGCCTATAGAAGGCTGTATGTACAAGTCGTTATCTAGCCTCTCTTTCTGGGTGGGGACAGGAACAGGTAGACTACTTAATGTCAAACAAACCACGCAGTGCATCGCAAATAAAGAAACACACCGGAAACCGCAAAGAAATCTGGTCAGAATATCATTTCCACGACATTTCGAGACTTATTCGGTACTGATCTGTTGATGACTATATTCGCCATCGATCCAAAGTCAGATGAGCTGTAGCAATCGATACAGCAACTGTCATATTCAGTATTATGGGCATGAGTAGAAGAATAAAATGAAAAGTGGGAGCATTTTCGACAGGTAGGGATATTTCATCACGGCCGATTCGATACCGTCCAACTCAACACCACCGACTCAACACCACCGACTCAACACCGGCCAATTCGTTCAATTCAAATCCATGGACAACTCACCGCCAGCTTCCTCACCGCGAGCATCGAATTCATAGCTTCAGACCGGTGTTGGATGCTATATTATGCACATCTCTTAAATCGGCTTTGAGTCCTTTGAGATTTTGAAAATTTGGCTGTTTGTCTTAGTGATTTCTTAGTTACAACAGCTTATTTTGCTGACTGGTGCTTAATTTTCAAGATCGAACAAATAACCACGCTGAAGCTTCACACATGTTTGGGGAAGGAGGACCACGCAATATTCAACACAGTGTCGCAAAAGATGCAAAAAAAACGATTCATTTTTTGAGCAATTAACTGGAGGTTATCCCCATCACCCAAAATTAAAGAAGTATATGAAGACAGATGAAAGAATTTTGGAAATTGTTTCTTCTTTTTCGCAACTAATGTTTCAATACTGAGTCTTGATCCACTGCATCTACTTCTAAGAACTCCGCTCACGACACAGGGCAGTCGCGGGGAACGGGGAGCAGCCAAGCTGTCAACGTCACCACCAGTGAGCACACATTAAAACCAGGCCCAACCGACTCACCATAACCTCCAAGTCGCTTCCCTCGCCCACATAGAGATATTCCGCCTTGAACCAATATATCAGCAATACAAATATTTTTCATCTTAACAATTCTTGTCTTCTTTTTTTTTTTCGTCTAGTCTGCGGTATTTCCTTTGTTCTCTCGTACTAACATACGCGTGTTTATAACACTTCGAAATCATGTTCATTTTAAATATGTAACAGATGTTTTTTTTTACAGCGAAAATCTCCAAAAACTTATTTTTATTATGGAGGTTCTGTTTTGTTTATCTGCGGCTAAGATAATGTTAATATTTTCCCGATCTGTTTTCATCCGCATTTCATCTCCATTCTTTTTTTACGGCTTAGCACCCTTTTGAGGTTATTTAAAG